CAAGGCAGCCGGAAGCTGCAAGAAACGGCGTTAGTGTGTGTTGCACTCCCTGCCGTGGGATGGTCGTCCGATCATCTCAAGTATTTCAACGAGGTGAAACACGCGTTGGCGCATGTGGTGCCCCTGTCGCACCCGCGACATGACGGTCTGCGTCTTCACGGACGCCAGTGACCTGTTTTGCGGTGCGGTCGCCACACAAGTACCGCCAGCGGACCTGGATTTGCCTCTCGAAGACCAGCGGCACCAGCCGCTTGCGTTCATCAGTGGGTCGTTTTCTGGCGCGAGTGCGCGCTGGCCCATCATGGAGAAGGAGGCCTATGCCGTGGTCGAGTCGTGCAAGAGACTCGACTACCTGGTCGTACGCCCTGGTGGTTCCCGTCTGCTTACGGATCACCGTAACTAGGTGTGCATTTTTTTGTACACCATTGAGTGCGTCTCGGGGGACGAGAATGTATGGGGCGACCTCCTGAGCCGATGGGGTTCGGCTCCGACGGATCAACCAGTTGCGAATGTTCGCAAGTTGATCCATGTGGTGTCGCCCCTGCAACAAGTGGATTTCGAGTGGCCGACAGCCGCTACGATCAGCGGCATCCAACGTTCAACCATGGAAGGGGGAGTGACCCCCCAAACGGCGTAGATTAGGACGACGACTCCCATTTTTACGTGGACCCAGACGGTCGAATCTGGATCCCAGAAGGTGCTGTCGACCTACAGCAGCGGATTTGTGTGATCGCTCACCAAGGAGCCAGCGGTCACAGTCGCATCGCAGCGACGACCAAGTCGGTGTCCAACAAGTTTGTGTGGAAGACGCTTACCACGGACGTCGAAGCGTTCGTGCGTGCCTGTTTGCACTGCCTGTGTATTGACGGCGAAATGGTCCCCCGTCCATTGGGTTCGGCGCTTCACGCAGAGAAGCCGAACGAGCTCATCCATTTCGACTGGTTGTCGAAGCCCATGGCCAAGTCTGGCCAAAAACAAGTGCTTGTCGTGAAGGACGACATGAATGGCTTTGTGCAGCTGTTCGCGGCAGAGTCCGCTGACGCCGCCGCGCCCGCTCAGGGCCTAATGACGTGGTTTACCACGTTCGGCTGCGTTGACACATGGATGTCAGATGGCAGTTCTCACTTCAAGAACGAAGTGGTCGAGAAGGTGCGGAAGCTGGTGGGTGCACACCATCACATCACAACAGCCTACAGTCCTTGGGTGAACGGGACTGTAGAAGTAGTCAACCGACTAGTGCTGCGCGCGTGAAGGCGCTGCTCAGCGAAATGAAGCTCAACGCGGACGAATGGCCGCATGTGTTGCCCCTCGTTCAAGGCGCCCTCAACCATCAGCCGGCGGACGGGCAGGGAGGAATTGCGCCTGTGACAGCGTTTACCGGCCTGCCAGCCAAGACCCCGCTGGCAGGATTTGTCCACCCGACGTCCAAGGAAGTTTACGTCGCGGAGTGGCTTGGCGCCGCCCGTCAGAAACATGAGACGGATCTCCAAATGGCGCTAGAAGATATGCACCGCAACGTGGCGTTGCGAAGCGACAAGTTGCGTCAGCAAGCGCGTGGACGCCGCGACCGAAAGTCCCAAGTCAAGTTTGCGGGTTTTGCGGTCGGCAATTTTGTGCTAGTCGGATCGGTCGTCAACCGTCCGACAAAATTGGCCCTGCATTGGCGAGGATCCTGCCAAGTGACCAAAGTTAGCACAGACCATTTGATGGAGACTCAGCAGCTGGTGCCACCGTATGAAGTCACGGCCCATCATGCGTGCCGATTGAAGATGTACACGAAGGTGGTAGAGTGGTGACTGAAGACCTCGAGGCGAAGATAGGGTTTGGCGATGGCGGATTTTATGTGGAACGCCTGGACGAAGCACGCTGCGTGGATGGCCAACACCAAGTTTTGGTGAAGTGGTTTGGACTTGACGATGAAGAATCGTCCTAGGAACCTGCGGCGAATTTGCTGGACGACATTCCAGTCGTATTTTGCAAGTGGGCGACGGCGAACAAGGAAGACCCTGCCGTGGCCGCCCTCATCAAGACACTGGACTTTCTGCAGGAGGGGAAGTGTTCTGCAGCGTGCAGAGCAATTGGGTCGCCCGTTAGTTTGACCCATTGCAAAGTAGGTAATGCAAAAGCACACGATTTTCACGTCATCGTAGGCTCGTATTACTTCCAGCGCACCCCCTATGCTATAAATGTTAACCAGTTCGGTCTCTAAAGAAATGCGACGCGTCGCGGAAGTGGTTAGTTAATGTAAATGCACCATATCACTTTCACAGTCCCTGTTTGTCCCGCGCATATGCGCATATATACTGTAAGTCTGACGCTGGGGAAAATGAAACTTATCGCTGGAATCATATGCTATCCGGACGAGTTATATAATCTAAAATAATATACAAAACTACTGCTCAACATAGTCAAATACAGTACAGCATGCAATCTTTATAATAATTATTCAATTTACACTGATGGCCTGATATCTTGACGAAAAAGTCCTATGATAGGGCTTTTCGGGACTGAACTTATGTTTGGACTTATTGAGACCTCGATAAAACCAACGGGTGGGAGTATAAGTCCAAAATTGGTTCTATCTAATGGTTATCCGTATAAATCAGACGTTTTAAGTCTGACGAGTGGAGATGGTCTAAATGCCCCAGATTGGTGTCTACACAAGGTAAACAACTTACGCCTCCAAATGCTGTCATGAGGCCGAAATTGCACGTGCGAGTTCA